TGTGTCGCACACTAGTGGTAGAAATGTTGCACTAACGTTAGATAAGAAATGGAACAACGGACGGAGGAATATCTAACTAGCATACTTGGTGGAGTGCATAGCAGCGGGACTGCTTGAAAATTACGGTGGCTATGCATAGTGGACCTCAAAGGCGAGGTAGCTTGGTTACGAAACTTCACATGTAGCGTCAACACCGACTACTGGTAAGACAACTGGTACGTAGAAGGTTCCCGACGTGCACTACATAGCTGATGTGAGGTTATTCGGGATGGGGCACTCCTAAAGGATCAATCCATTCCATCGGATAGATTACTCTGCGCACATGGGATCACACATTACATTACACGCTAAGTATTTCCCTTGTTTCGGTCTTCATTATAGCAGCAAGCAACTATTAGCACTATAATTCCTATCAGTGGTAGCTCGATGAATATATATCATTATTGACCCTGTCGCAGCAATGAATCCGCTGCTTTCAAACGAGTTTTGTTGACACTAGTTGGAACCACCTTTTTGAATGCTGTGAATCAGCTTATTTCATGTACTCGCTACTTACAATGAGCACATAAGGCACACATAACGCACACATAAACAACTGGCAGAACGAACCACCACTAGCCTTAACGGCTTGGACACTCACACTGCAAGTGAGCAGCCTCCTACAGTAGGCTGGCGAATCGCCAGAGACCCTAGCATGTATTCATTCCTTCGACACAGCCAAGAGACAGCAACGTCCGCGCCAAGCTGTGTGCGCTACTGTATCACGCAGCAACACACAGAGCATGTCTTGGACGTTGTTGCCTCGTTGGAAGTTGGCAAGGTTAGCTGCCATGTTTGGGCGACGTTTCCAAATCTGGGCATCATGGGATACTATGATGAAGCTTTATGATGACCGCAGTGTGAAAATAACGTGTCAGCACAGCCTAACGGTAACGTGTGGAGCTTTCATGCTGGAGGTTGCGGGTTCAAATCCTACCGATGACTCGAGTTTTACTTCGAAGTACTTTTATCATTTATGAGTTTGCAGTACAGCATTGACGGTTGAGTTTTTCCTACAATTCTACCGGTATCACCACCAGCTTGATGAAAACTGGATTCAAATCGGAGGCACAAACTTTAATTCACACTGGTAGTGGTGATAAATCGACGAACTTGCTGTGTATACGGTCATCATGGTGGCTGCATGGTCAACCTTCGTCCCAATCATCCTATATCCCTATTGACTAAATGCCCCAAAACTTTGAATTGTCCTATTTCATTGTATCGTTTCCGTACTCATGGTGAATCTATCCAAGATATTGTGCCAAATCCGTGATTTGACACTATAAACAACGTGATTTTTGCATTATTCGTCACGTTAAACGACGGGGGTTTCGTGCTGACGAGGTGGGCAAGTTGTAAGCATTTGAACCGGTCCTTGGATTCACAAGGTTGTGGGTGCTGGATCGTTTTGGGCACAGAGTGGGCTGTCACGTCCTTCGGTTTGACTCGCCCTTCGGTTTTGTCGGAGTTTCCACCAATCATATATTCCTCGGTGTAACATGGGTCGGTAGATAAGGGCCTTCACCGAGGGAGTCTGATTGGCTCAAAATCGCACCGCGAAACTCTCCCTTACTTGAATCCGAAACACCGGTTTCGGAGCATGTGGTGACATCATCAGTCTCACCCGAGATTTGTTGTGAAAACACAGTCGTACGGTACTTGTATCGTCCTTTCGCAGTTGTTTTCGACCGATGTTTCCTGAGGGTTCTTTCGACACGCAACATGACCAAGCTAACTGCCAATACCCCACCAGTTCTCGACAAGAGCCGTCCAGACAATGCTGAGTCCAAGGAGGTTTTTCAGGTGATCGTGGTGTCGACTGCGGGTCTTTCACTTGTCGAACTGCAACCCTCGGGAAGGGTCCAACGGCCTTCATTTGTGCAACCTTGACCGGGTCCCTTGGATTATGGGGGACCGAGTCGTTGATTGCGTCCTCCATCTTGTTAGGCACGGCTTCGTCAGCAGGCGCCCCGTTTGTGTCCTGGTCGGCGGCATTCTCGTTTGCCCCCCTCGCCCCCTCGGCGGTATTCTGGTTTGTCTTCCTCGCCCCCTCGGTGATATCCTGCTTCGTCCTCCACGCTCGGTCGGCGGCATTCTCGTTCGTTTTCCTCGCCCCCTCCGCGGTATTTTCGTGTAATGTTCTCGCTCCGTTAGCGACGTTGTCTTTGTCTTGGCCTGCTCCGACTTACTCGGAGGCGTCTTCTCGTCTTCCAATCTGGATCCTGAGTGGTTACGCACCCGCCTCAGGATACTTCTCAGACGTTGTTGTTCCTTCACTTCCGCACATTTCGGGTATTTTACCACGTTGGCACGTCTCCTCCGCCAATTGCGGGCTGTCAAATGTCTCTCCTCCCCACGTTGCGGGCATGCTGCCACTTTGGCACGTTTCCTCCGCTGAGCGCGGGAACTTCCTTGTTTCTTCTCCGCATGTCGCGGATGTGCCTTGCTCTCGGGTCGGAGCGGCGGCCTCGTCAGGCTTCTTCTCCTTCTCGTCGCAAACCGGCCCTCTCGGGCTGTCTTCCAGGATCTCCACTTGATCCTCGATGTCGGTGGTCTTCGTCCAGCAAGCTTTCCCCTTACTTGTTTCTTGTGCTCCCCGGTCCTCGTAGGTGGATCGGAGAATGTACGCTTCTGTGCGTGTTTCGCTTTCTTTGATAAGGCGTCTCCCTCGGGTCACCAGGGAGTTCTCATCGGGATTTTCACCCATGGTGGCCAACCTAGTTTCTTCAGGGCGAAACTCGGCTGTGAATTGACTCGACTGCGTAATCTGTGCCCCCAACCCGTTGGATCCTGGGTCAGATTAAGACTCGGTCAGCTGAGTGTCTTCGTCGTCGGATGTTATTTCGTTTGGTTCGATCAGGTACACGCCACGTCCGGCGGCTTGGTCCTGATCCCTGCTTCCTCATTGTTGATCCTCGTTCAACTCGCCCATACCCGGCGAGTTGTCTTGAGAACCGGAGGCAACCATAGCCTGGATGGCCGCCACAATTTGCGGGGTAGTTAACGAGGTTCGGTTTCGCTGTGGACATTCTCGGCTGAGATGCCCAGGCTTGCCACACGAGTAACACTCCATGCCGCTGGTGCCGGAACCACGTGTAGGTTGCCCGTAGGTCTGACGACGGAAACCTTGGTCCGACGCTCCCGTTCGTTCGGGCTGAGGTACCGTGCACTCCGAGGGATGATGACCCTTGGTTCTACACACTCGTCAAAACCACGAAATTCGCATGCATTTTTCACGGGGGTGGCCTTTCAGCTGGAAGCGCCCGCACACCACCGTACCAGACTTAGTCTCTTCATCCTAGTTCTGACGGATGCGGGGTTGCACAGGCGTGTTTACACCCGGTTGCTCCGACTGAATCTGCTGCTCCGACTGAGTCTGAGCCACGACGTCGTGGAGTGTATAGAACCGATCGTTTTGTAGCGTCTCTTGCTGGGCTGCCATTGTGGACATCTCCTAGTGCATTTGTTACAAAGTAGCGTGTACAGTAGTTCTTGGATGTCACCGGTCGGGGCCGCCGAGGCTCGTGGTGTCCCTCGGTTCGACTTCGTGGGAGTTGTCGGAGCCGTGGTATCGCTATTTACTGAACGCACTGTTGACCGCGATCCATCGAGCCGACGATCGAGATCTACATCGCGGTATCGTAAGTATTCAAGGCTATCTTCGATCGACTCGGGGCGTGTTGCGGCCCCTTGGAGACAATTTGAGACTTTGGAGTCATCACATCCGTTGATCAGCATGACTACAGCTCGGTCGGATTGTAGTCCAGCATCGCGCGCTGCGTCGGTGATCTGCTAGGCATAATCACGCACTGTCTCAGTCCGCTTGCGTCGAGCATTTGCGGTGATTTCGGACATCTTTCGACTCATTGTTTTTTGGATGAATTCTTTGCCTCGCGTGCTGCAGGCCATGAGCTTTGTTCGGAGTCACGACAGCGGTGGGCCCACCAATCTTGAACCGAGCGGACCCCTGAGGAAGTTAACCGATCGTCGAAGATGCGGACAAGTTGAGTCTCGGTAATGTCGTACTCTTCAAGTAGCTCGTTGAACCGGGGAAGGAAATGCTCGAGAGGGATCGTTCGGTCCGCACTGTCTAGTTTCGGGGCGTACTTCCGTGCATCGGTCATTGCCTACCAAGCCAAAGATCGCCGAGCCGCGTCCGAGGTGGGTTGAGAAGGGTAAGCGGTCCCCCTCCACCTCCATAGTCACCCCCTCCTCCCGGAGGTCCAGGTGGTGGTCCTCCGTGTCGTCCAGAAAACCCCCCATAGCTACCTTGATTGTATCCCCCAGGGCCGTTGGGATCATGGGGAGGGTCCCCTCCAGGCCCTCCGCCGGGTCCTTGGCCTGGTTGTCTGCCAGAATTTCCTTGATTTGCCGTGAGGTATCTAGGGGGCCCGTTGTCGAAGCTCGCACTCCCCGGTTTCGGCATATTGAGAGGCCCTCTCCCCGTTTGACCAAACCTACTGTACTCTGGACGTGTCGCCGGAGGCGGAGCCACTGGAACGGGTGGTACGACCACCGGGTAGAGATACAATGGTGGTTGCAACGACGTGGACTCCGTGACTGTCTCGTCTCGGTTTGCTGCATGAAGTGAGGGCGTTCGAGGTAATCGAAGGCTCGGCGAGGGGTCGAGACTACGGAGACTGAGCCAGGAGCCATGGTGGCTGACTCGTACGTGGATGAGGCACCCTTCGTGGGAGATCCCTTCCGAGAGGCTGAAGGGGAACTGTAGGGAGTCAGTATCGGGCTCGGTCGAATGCGCACGGCCTGCGATTTGAGGGTAGCGTTGCGCTTCTCAATCTCGAGGTTCGTTTGCTGACGTCCAAGTTGGGCGTAGGCTTGGGCTAACATAGCTTCATGATTTTCCCGATCACTGCGCAATTGTTCCTCAGCATCCTCGAGGAGGCGCATGATAGCGTCTTGGTTCGCCAGCCCTTCAGAGATACGCGCCAAGACTTCTTCGTTTGCTGCACGCTCTAGCGTAAACTGTCCTCGTTCGGCCTCGACTCGAGTCCGTTCCAGTAGTACTTCTTCGGCTCCTTTCGATTTTCGTTCCGTGATCATGGCACGGACTCGATCCTCTGTTGTCCACTCAAGGTCGAGCCGGCTCTCTCGTTGTTCCTGCAGGGCCAGTTGGAACTGGACTCTCTCATGGTCCAGCTGTTCAACGGCTTCTGGAGTGCACTGTTCGCTGACGCGGAGTGAGTTGCCTGCCTCGGCGAGAGAGGCTTCAAGTCCCTCGGTTCGGTTGACCTCGTTAATGACAGTAGTTTCGAGCGCTCTAATCCTTCTTTGGAGGACTTGGATTTCTTCTTGGAGGACAGGGCAATTTCCACATTCGGACCGAACGAGTCCAGCTGCTTGAATCTCGTGTAAGGCCGTATTCGTTCGCTCCAGCTCGGCTGATTTCATGAGTACTTCGGCCTGAGAGGAGGCAAGTTCCCGGGCTCTTTATTCATCTCGTGCTTCGTAAGTCGACTCCAACGTCGCGATATCTTTCCGAGATTCCCCCGCTAAGAGCTGGACATCCTCTACGTGTGCTCGCTTCGCTGAACGGTGATCTTCTCGCAACTGGTTGAGAGCGCTTTCGTGATGAATGGCCTCCTCCATGTGGCGGACTTCCATGGCGTGGGCTGCCTCCGCTCGTATTGAGCGAAGTTTCTCGGTGGACTGCCGTGTTAGCATAGCTACCTGAGAATCCTTCTCCCGCAGGATAAGTGCCTTCTGGCTTTCCCATTCCGA